GTGTGTGTGTGTGTGTGTTCTCTTGAACAGATTTTTATTTTATTTTTTTTTTAATAATTTGCATTGCATTTAAAGATTAACACACCAAGGAAACTCTCATGACTGCTACACCAACTAAAAAGAGTTACTCAAGTAGTGCTGGTTAGAATAGATTTATTTATGAGAGCACTCCTTGGTGTCTTGCTGTGTGTGCGTGTTTGTATGTGTGAGTGTGAGCTCCCCGGTCTAAAACTGTGTGTCTATATATGGTTTGGTTTATTGATTTGTTTGCTGATTGGTTCCCTTCAACATCCTCTCCAGAAGGAGGCCTGGTTCTAAAGGGGATTGGAAGAGCCATCATTCCTGAGGTGATTGAGGACGAAGAAGGGGAAAGCTCTGCTGGTCAAGAGCCTGCCACCGCCACTACTACCACTAACACCCCCCCAGCCCTGAACCCAGACCCCAGCATCCAGACAGAGAGCACCGCTTTTTAAAGTCTGGGCTTGACTGTTTATGATCAAACATAAGACGGGGTAACTCAAAATGAAATCACTCCGGCTCTTCAAGTACCGCTCACATGATGTCAGAGTGTCGCTGGAAACGAATGGCTGCCTTTTCCTCTGCTATACTGACTCACACCAGAAACCTCATCTTAAGTTAGTCGTTCAGACCACAAGGGCCCTGTCCAGCTATCACTTTCCACATTAGACTGCACATTAAACGGTTTGCTCCACATACTGCTTGGGTATTCTCTGATTGGACTGCAGGGCCTTGTGAGGAACAAGGCTAGCGGGGCTTTAACATAAAACCTCAGCAATATCGCAGCTGAATATCGCAGCTGGCTTCAGAATGCTGGTAAAGTTGATCTTTTTATTTTTTTAAAACTATTACTATTAAATCTTCAATTATGCAAATACTTCTTTAAAATGTGAATCTGGTTTTACCACATAAACCCAAATAAAGAGAAATTTTCAGTGAGTAAATAATTCCCTCATGTCCACAGCAATACTATGAAGGACCAAAGGAAATGACTGTTAGTCAAAGCAAACTGAGTTCAAATGTTGAGCCATTGTTATGGTTGCTAATGACCAAATATTTTAGTGTGAGTGCAATATAACAGTTTCTCTTCCACTGCTGTCCCATCCCAGCGTGCACACACTGCCATTTATTAGTTATTCAGGGCAGTTTTCAGTTTGAATTTTCTTTGATTTCCATGGACCTGATTCACAAAGCTGACAAAAATATAACTGATTTTTTTTTTCTCCTGCTAAATGTAACTGATAATTTTTCTATCACACTCAAAAGCTATGACCAAACTCCAGCATGTGATTAAAATTTGTAGAATTTTTTTTTTACTATGGCTCATTAGCTTTGCCTTATTTTCAGCTTTTTTTTTTCTTTTCTTGTTTTGGTTGTTTAAGCATTTTTATGGTGGTTCTTCTGCACAAAATGCACTGCGCAATGCGTTTTTGATCTAAATAAAGATTGTTCAACAGTTTTTATCTTGAATGATTTTTTTTATGCCAAATATTATTGCTCATAAATGGTCATAAAACAAGTTGCCTGCACTCTGTCCATTACTTGAGGGGTTTTTTGTTGTTGTTTTTTAAGCAACAATTGACATAACATTTTTATATGATTCGTATTACAAAAAGTCAACCACATTTTTATAATTTTTAAGATAAAACTTTACAAAGAGTGAAAAAATAAAACATTCAAATCTCTACAGTCTTTCATGCAGCCCATTCTTTGTCCATTTACTGCCCATCAAGCCCAGTAACCAATGATAAAGGCGGTTACAGAGAGGCAAATGATGAGGTTTGCATTAACAATGAGTTGTAGACGAGGCTTTTCCTCCAGAGAACAGATCGTTTGTTCAGGTGCAGGAAGCGGAGCGGGATCATCTTCCTTGTTCCGTCTCTCCATCCCACACAGCCAGTAGAGGGCAGACATCAGCTTGGACTGACTGCGTACACTGCTGGCAGACGATGCTGAATCTAAAGGGTTAAAAGGAGAGAGGGAGGGGAAAAATAACTTGGAATTGTCTCATAGATGCGTTGAGCTGAAGAGTTGCCAAATGGAAAAGAGAGCAGGACAAAGACCCACCTTTCCTGTGATGACACGCGTTTCCATTGCTGCTTCCCACCTCTCTCCCAGTGGCTCCCACATCATCAGTCTGAATAGCAATTACATCTAATGTTGTGCTGCTTTGCTCTGATGCAAACACCTGCTCTCGAGGCTTCACTGGGTCGAGTCTTGTGAACCATGTGAGTCGACTAATCTGTTTTTTATTATTATTATTTTTTTTTTAAAGAAACAAAAGTGACAGTCAAACTTTCTGAGAGTTAAAGAAATCTATGTATTGTAGAGAGGTGCGACTTACACTACATATGTTGAAATGTTCTCTTCAGACTTTAAAAGGTAATTAACAAGACAGTCTCATTATAAATGTACCCTGTGGTATTATTGACACCTAGTGGTGCTACAGAGCGATGTTATGAGCTGATCCTTGTAATGTTTCCATCCATCCATTGCTCATGTCTTAGCAAAAGTGTGTTTAAAGACAGTGGGCATTTTCTTGAAAGTTAACAGTGGCTTCACCTGCTCTGGTTTTGGCTCCTCTGTAGCCAAGCTCACTACAACCACCACAACGAGGGTAATGAAGGACAGCAACATGGAGAAGTAGAGGTAATGAACATATTTTAACACTGCAGGTCTGTCGTCCTCTTCATAGCACAGTGGAGCAGGGTAGATGAAGTCCAGTAACATACGAATACACCCGACCACAAGGCCAATAGCCAGGCCCCAGAAAGCACCCTGCACCAGGGAGGGAGTCAAACATCAGCATTATACACAGTATAATGGAACATGAATATACACTCAACGGCCACTTTATTAGCTACACCTCACTAATGCTGGGTTGGACCTGCTTTTTGCCTTCAGAACTTAACTTCTTTAGGGCATAGATTCAACAAGTTGCTGGAAGCATGCCACACCAAACAGCAACTGTGCCAAGTCACTTAAATTTCCTTATTGTCACATTCAAGTTCAGCAAGTCGTCTTGAACACGTCTGTCAGTCACATGGCAGTATTTAGTTGTTGCCATGTGAATGGCTGTTTAGATATTTGCAGTAGCGAGAAGTTGAACAGGTGTACCTAATAAAGTGACCAGCGGGTGTATTTTCCATGAATTACTTTATCAATCGCAAGAACATTCTGAAGAAGAAGAAAAAACATCTTGCCTTCTCATTGGTCCTCTTCCAAAAGCAGCCCATGAGGAAGATGATGGAGACGGGGGGCTGGAGGTAAGTGCTGATGGACTGGATGTAGATGAAGAGCTGGCCACCCTGACTGGCCTGGACGACTGGAATCCACAAAACAGACACCACAACCAACACAAGCACAAACACTCTGCAGCACACACATCAAACCATAAAAGGGGCGTTATGCAATAATAATGAGGTTCTGCAATGCACAGATTTGACAAAGAGCAGAAAACTAAAGGTGCTGGAATCTAAACGACACAATGCATTTAGCCATTACTGAGTAAAGTTTGGTGGATGAGCTCACATAAAGGGCCTTATACAAAGCTTTCTCAGACAGGACCACTTTAATTAAAGTAGGTTGTTATTTCCATCTGCAGTAATTCATATATGAGCTCTCTTATGGGATCACCCCACTCTTTCATTTTGCATGCATGCAAAGCTGGAGGCGGGGAGAGCAGCATCAAAACGCCTCTTACAGAACAGAGCAGGCATCAAAGACCACAAACATTACATTCATTAAGTCAGACAACATAAAAAGAAGGAGCTGAGGTGGGCGTGGGATTCAAAATAGCTTGCAGAGGCAGCAGCAGCAACTTAAACAGTGTCCCCTGTGTGAGATTTGTTGATTGAATCATAAAAGTATACGCAGGTTGGCATTAACAAGATCGACTTACTGAACTAATACTGTGCTCAGTTTTCCAAATGTAGATGCTCTAAGTAAGAATAAAGTGCAGAAATGCTTTTCTGCTCAAACTTCAGTCTCAGCATACGATATACATGCTGCATGTTTTATATCAGAATGCCCTGACGTGGTCACATACCTGCCCACAATCATGAGCTCCCATTCAGAAGCACGGGATCTGAAACTCTTCCACAGGTCCATGGTAAAAATGGTGCTGGCACTGTTAAAGATGGAGGTCAGCGAGGACATGAGAGCAGCAATCATCACAGCCATCATCAAGCCCCGCAGTCCTGGGAGGAAAGACGCACAGTTACCATAAAAGACTCGTCACGTAAAGCATGAAGCAGGAAACGAGGTGCAGCAGAAAGAGTCTCTCACCTGCAGGAAGAAGCTCCATGACCAGTTTGGCATAAGCGATGTCTGAACACCCCACTGGATTGCCACAAATCTCTCTGCACACCTCAGGTTCTGCACAAGCCACTTCGTCTATGCACAGTAGAAACACACACACGTCAGTCAAACTCAAATATCCACAATATTTTTGTTTAGTGTTACCTAAATACCTCACACATTTTCAGCACCATTATGAAGGCTAATGTTATAATATGCAGTAAGGTCAAACACAGTATTCCAGCTGCAGCATACAGTTCTCACTGTACCTGTGTAAAGTATCCTGCTGATCATGCCGGGGATCATGATTGCAAAGAAGGGCAGAACTTTGAGGTACGCAGCCAGCAGGGAGCCTCCTTTTGCATGGGTCAGGGTCTTGGCAGCCAGAGAGCGCTGCACAATGACCTGCAGAGAGTCCCGAATTAAAAGCTGACCAATAAATATATATATAAATATATATATGTAAAGCAGGTAACTACATATCTGTGTAATGTAAGGCAGAATGGAACCACAAAGCTTACTGCTATCACTCAGGAATTTGTAAGATATCAGGGGCTAAACAGATGCTGCTGTGTATCTGGAAAGACTGTAAATGCTAATTAAAACTAACCGTGCTTTTTCTTATCTCACTTCAGTTGGACCTTTGAAACATGCCAGCTTCTTTACGGAGTAATTCTCAAGATGAGGATTTTCAGATTAAAACTCTCTGAGTACTTCAGAGAAAATTTTTAATCGGCGTCAACAAGATGTAAAAGCTCTAAGTTGTACTTTATATTTTATAGATGAAAGATCTCTTGACATCTTACATCTTAACTTCATTTTTTAATGCTCATGTTGGTAAATCAGGGCTCACGAGCTCTGAACTGCCTTCACTGTAGAAACGAGGTTTGCCTATGAAGTCTTTGATTTGAACTCTACCGATTAAACACTCTCTGAGGGGAAAGCTTCCTTTCATAACTTTAACTTTCATAACTTTAGCTTTGAAAATCACTGACCTGATCAGAGCACCAGTACCACATGGAGGGGATGGACATGCCGACAATAACACCAGGCCAGGGGAGGTCAGAAGTCACCGGATCTCTGAATATGTGGAAAGCATCTTCTCGGGGGATGCCACAGGTCGAGTTGGGTACACGAATTGATGGGATGGCGTTGCCGTAACCCTCCATGAAAGCATTCCAGCCTCCAACCTCCACAAAACCTACACATAGAGACTAAATAGATCAGCTGGATCATAAAGGGTTGGAAACTGGAAGCTGTGATTTTCACTCATATCCTCACTTACTGAAGCCCATGAGGGTCAGAGCTCCTGCCAGCATGATAGCAGTCTGAGCTGCATCTGTATAGATAACTGCAGCCAGACCACCTATGACCAGCAAACAGCACATTATGCACTTCTAGAAGCTGGTAAAATACAGAACAGCCAACATGAGTGGGACTGTAGCTCACCTGCTACAGTATAGATAGCAGTGACTAACAGCAGCAGCACCACAGCCAGGTAGATGTTCCATTGTAAGGCAAGCTGAATGAACAGGGCACCTGCATACATGTCCACCTGGCCAAAAACACACATAGGTTTATGCTAATAAACTAGAAAAAAATTAAGCCAGATAAAGCTTCACAAAATAAATCACTATTGTGGATTATAGCCTACCGATATTTTTGTAAAGATGTAAATAAATAAGGAAAGGATGGCTATAAACAACTGAGTTCTTCTACCACCAAACCGCCTCTGCAGATACTCTGGCATCGTTGTCACCTGTAGAAGAAATAAGGTCAAGCCCTATGAGATCACGGGGGAATAAATGACCAAAATCATGCATGCAACAACTTATTGTTTCTTTTTTTCAGAGTGTGTGTAGAAAACTCACACCAGAGGCAATATAAATGGGCAGGAAGAGCCATCCCAGCAGCAGTACCATCATCATACCCTGTCAGTTAACAAATATCAGCACCATCAAGAATTTAAACCTATTAATATTTCATATCAAAGTTATTTTTGACAGATTATTTTCTTACATTCCACTCGTATGCAATGGCACCAATTCCCGCTGCGGCTCCTGACCCTGCCAGGCCGATGAAATGGCCACTGCCAATGTTACTGGCGAACAGCGAAGCACCCACCTAAATATAGATGAGAGTCCGAATCAGAACATTTTG